AAGATCCATAACACGATTAATCCTCATGTGGGTATTACACTTGAAGGTAAGGTGCAGGTCATGATAATTTGAATGAAGTAGCAGATGGTAACAGTAAGGTTAGTGTCACGCCCCAACCTCGGGAGGCGCGACCGGCGCTCAATCGAGTGAACCCAACTGAGCAAGTCTTATCAAACACTTCCTACCCAACTCAATATGATTAAGGAATCCGGCTTTCGTTAAATTAGACAATAGGAGGGGCTGCACATTCAACATTGATAGTTCATTTTATATCACAACCTTAAACCGTAGTTAGGTTCCAAGATTCCCATACAGTTACAATTTAGAGAAAACATGAGTTTAGAATTACAACATAGTTCATAGACCCATCCAACACCCATACATAACCCACACCAACGTCTATGGAGCCTCTATGGATACAAAAGACAAGTTATGACAATGCTGGCAACAAGGCCCCGGCTATACCTCAAAAGTGGAAGTCTACAACAAAGATGTACAACATAACCCCTTGAAGGAGAAAGGGGGGCTCACCAAGACTTCGAAAGGAGGACACTCCGCTACGCGAGATCGGTACTGTCCACTATGGAGCCACCTACATTCATTTAAAAATGTAGCGCCCCCGACAAAAAGGACATTAGTACCATGGAATAGTGCTAGTATGTATAACTAAACACCATCTAGTTAGAAAGAACTTTCATACAAGAATAAGGCAATCACAAGTATAGCTCAAAGAAAACTTTAAATGGCCACAATATTATCAAATAAAAAAATCACACAATTTTCACATCGTGTTTCCATAGCTTTTATTTTGGGCATTTCATACTGTTCATCATTGTTCACATTACCAACGCTATCTTGAGCGGAGTCCGATCTCGACCCGATCGGCTAGGTTGCCTCATTTGAGACATTCATTTCAATCACAAACACATTACCACCATGTGCGTAGCATGGCGTCCGATCTCGGCCCAATCGGCTAGGCCGCCTTACCAAGGCGTTTCCCTTTTTCATCAATCATCTCATTTCAAGCTTTGTTTCCCATAAATCATTTCATAGGCACTTGGGGCCACAGCTATCACGTCATATATTTGGCACTAGGCCACATCTCACATTATTCCCAATTTCAATGTTAGATTTGTAATTTAGGATAATATGTGCACACAAGAGCAAATAAAATTGTAAGCATAGATGAGACTTCACATAGATGGCACAACATATGCAGCTTCAATCTCAATTTAAGGTCTGAGCATTTCAATACATGATTCATATTCCTTGCACCCTTTCAAGTTATCAAGAATAGCACATTGATCATATTGAGACACATCTTTCACGCATATAAGGTTGCAACCCCAAATTCATGTGAAACAACAATTAATACAACAATTCAGCGTTAATCTTACCGTATTTACACCAACACCAACGGAGCTCAATTTCTAAAAAACGGGGTTTTAGCCATACATACCTCAATTGAGCTTTCCCTTAATCCTATATTGTTCCGGAATGTTTTGCACTTCAATCTATTTAAGCAATGTAGCACAATTGAACCCATAATCAGGAAAAGATCGTAATCTTAGCTCACCTGAGCATTTTATCAAGCATTGAGCGTTCATTAAGGTCTTATGGTCCTTTTATGCAAGATTACACTAGCCCTTTCCCCTTGCCTCTCTATTTATAATTTTCACATATCTCCTAAGAACACATACATGCAATGTAGTCACCCTTATCCCCATGAATTACCTCACTAATGATCCCTTATAACTATGTTTAAAATTAAGAGTTGAGGTGATGAAGTCTTACCTCCTGGGATGAAGATTTAGGTGCCTCACTTGATTATCTTCAATATTTTAACAAGGATTTGTGGAGCAATTTTGATGAAAGGCACCTCCCCTCTCAGACCCTCTTTCTCACTCTAAAAGGAAAATAGGCTCAAAATGAGCTATTGCACAGGATATAACGACAGGGGGTCGGGTTTCAAATTTAGAAATCTGGAGCCCCGACACAGATCTGCGGTCGCATATGCGATCGCAAAGTTGACATGTGGCCCGCAGAATGGACCGCAAAAATGTTCCCAAAAATCTGAACAAACTGCCTGGGTATGTGACAAGAATGCGGTCCGCATACCTGTTCTGCGGTCGCATAATGCACCCCAGAACTGCTCCTCGCAAAAATTCCAAGGGGATTATGCGACGACTATGCGGCCCGCATATCGATTATGCGATCGCATAATTGGCCGCATAGTTGACCTCAAAATTAACCATCACACTGCTTGACTCTGCTGGATAAGGGCTTAACTCTTGAAGTTAGAACTGCTTGTGTGAATATTGAAGTCAAGGGTGGAGACATAAACAAAGAATGTGAGAGTTGGAGCATGATAGCAGCTAAAAAATCAGCTAGGAAGAAGGTTGTTTCACTGAGGAAGAATTCCTCAAAGACAAATACCAGTTCAAATATTTTTAAAGCACTCGCAGATGAGGAAGGTGTTGGTATAAACTCACCACCTTAAATGACTCTAATTTGATGCAGCAAATAATCCCATGTAATAACAGTGGCAGACAAGACCAAGGCAGTGTGATCTTTTCGCCAATGATTTGGGTGTTCGATGAAATGCCTCAGAGAATAACTTGGTTGAGGTTTTGATGGGTGATCAATACATCATGCAAAAATTCCTATGCTATATTTTTCTAGTCCATAAGTGGAAAAAATTATCAAGTAAACTCAGGTTTCCATGGTGATGAATGCGAACCCTATGATCAAATAATATGTTGGTCACTTTGAACTCCTCGACACATGAAGTGCCTTCCCAATCTTTGGAGTCATTTGGTGAGCATGGTGGTGAATATGGGCAGATTTTACTGTCCACATAGAATGACAATGATGTGGTAAAAGAGGAAGATCAAGTTTTGAGGGAGGTGATCGGTGAGAATCAACATAAGGATCGAGTAGGTGATACTGTCTTGCCAAAACTCAAATTGTGGGCTGACCAAGTTGAGGAAGATGAGATCAATGCTATTGATGATCAAAAAATTGAAGGTGAATCCTTACGTTCAATTGGATCACCAACAATGCCATGCCACAGAATCTCTCCATGTATAAGTGTTAAAAGTAAGCTTAACTCAAAAGTTCATATTTTTGTTCCTAAGAATTCTCCAGGTGGTGCTGCTATATTGTGAGATCAGGTTACCAATGGGCCTGCTTTTGTGCCTTCAAGTAAGGCTATGCAAATTTTAGTCTATGATAGGGCACTCTTGGAAGCTTTGGAGAGTCCAAAAGCACATAAAATTGCATATTTGGCTGGTTCAAAGATGAATGCACAAGATCAGCTGCAGTTTTCTGGTAAGAAGCTTAACACTAATGCTCAATTTCAACCCTCAAGAATTATGAATAGTTGCGAAGAGACATGAACCAGGTGGTTTGGTTGCACAAGAACTTGCCAATCATCCACAAGAGAGCAACTTAGGGTTTCACATTTATGAAGAAGGAGAGGAAGAAGAGTTGTTAGAGCATTATCGGGCAGAGGCTGCTAGAAGTGGAGATTTATATCATATGCATATGAAAAGAAGAAGAAGAAGGCACACACAATCAAGAAGAATTGAGATAGTGACATGATGAGAGTTGCAAAGCCAGGGGCAGTCTCTACCACCTCCACAAGATCCAATAGGTCGAAGAAGAAATGATGAAGTTTGATAATATTTTGAAGATAGTTGAAGAAGAAGTCAAGGTGCTATAAGTTGAAGAATTCACAAGATTGAAGAAGAAGAGACTTGACACTAGCTTTATTTTTGTATTATTTTACCATTTTATTAGCATCATCATTTGTAATATCATCATAGAGTATGTTATCTATTATGATCATACAATACTTAGTTCTTTCAAGTTCTTATTTTTTACATGCTTGCTAGTATATTAGGTTGTTCATGCCTCAATAGAAATTGTATGATAAGGTCTAGCTTAGTAGTTATTGCCATTCCTTTTTGCCTTTGAGAGATACCTCAGTTGGCTATGAGATTATTCACCCTCGTAAGATTTTGTCCTCATGAGACATTGGAAGCGCATATGGATGATCATCTTGACAAGGCAATGGATGCCACACTACTGTATTTTTTGCCCCCTTACTTATAATTTTCCTTTGTGGTGCCTTTATTATTAATAAAACTAGCCCTAGGTATTCTGCCTAATGGATTTGCTTAAAAAAAAGAACCCATCATTTGCTTATATATGTTAAATCCTCCACTTTCGGTCCATTCTTCCCCTACAAAAGGAGATTTTTGTGAATAATCAAATTGGTAATTTTTGTTACATCTCTCCCTCCAGGAGCCCATGTATCATATACACCCTCAAAATAAAAATTCTTGAATACTAGAAGAAAATAACATACATGTTTAGTATCTCCATATGAATCATTTTATATCACTACTAGAAAAACATCACTTTGTGACCGAATTTTCTGACTGAAAATGAAGCAGTCGCTAATGGGACTGCTTTTGCGACCGCAGTAATCGGAAAATGATTGACTTTTTATTACTTATTTTTACAAAAGAAAATCGATTATTATTCCGATAAAAGCAGTGGAAAAACAATGCGCCAATTTTCCGCCTTCGCTTTTGCGACCGATTCGGTCGGACATTAAAAAGTCAAAAGTTTATGATGACCCACTAAGCAACTGCGTCAATTGCAAAATTAAAATTAAAATGATAAAAGAATTTTAAGCGGGTTTGCCACTACGGTATTCAGTAACCTTAATCTAATATTTCACGCCCAAACCCTATTTCCCCAATTTCCTCTATCTCTCTCTCTGCTCGACCGATAACCCCTCTCTCTCTGCTCGACCGATCCCTATTTTCCCAAATTTTTAAAGGTAAATCACTAATCACTCAGCTCTCTCTCTTTCTTCTCGTACAGGTAAGTTTTTTTTCCCTTTTCTGTTTAATTTTTCCATCTTACTGTTCGTTCATCTGAAATTGGAGGATCATAATCGGTCGGACTTAGCAATATTAATCTTCCCACTGAACGCATCCTGAATATGTATATAGTCTCAAATTTGGCCTCGTTTTGAACTAGATTCTCTAATCTCCTCATTGTAATGATTCACTTAGTTTCGTTTACTTGACACTAATTTTAATTTTTTTCACAAAGGGGACAGGGCGATAAAGCACACTTATGATAACGTTTGTTTTTTGCTTTTGCTATGGTTAGGTACTTATTAAACTCATGAATACATATGGTTTCTGAAACTCATGTTAAAGTATCTAGTAGAAAAAGAAAACATATGGTTATAATTGATCTGGATTGACATACACTGGTGGTCAATATATTTGACATATACTCGTTATTAGCCTTTGGTATATTATTGATTTCGTTTTGGTCGAATTCTATTAGGTTAAATAAGTTCTTTCTTTTGTCGAGTTATATTCATGTTGACAATTTTATATGAAAATAGGGAAAAGAATATTGCTCCTTCTAAAGATTTTTTCAAAACATAACTATTAGTAATCTAACATTTTTTTCTTCAATTGCTATTTTGCATAGATTTTAAGCATATAGAATTACAAGAGATTATGACTCGCAATATTTGTATGTGATTTTTAAATTTATAAATTTACTTAAAAATTTTGAAGAGCTAATGTCTGAATTTAGATAGAAAATTTTGAAGCTGATTGGTGTGCTTTGAGTAAGTATCTTATTTGATATATGCAGGTATACCTGCATTTACTGCTCTATCAAGGTGTCAAATGTGATCTAACATTGTTTGTAGGGTAAAAAAGAGTCATTAGTAGTGGTCACTCAGCTTTATGAACTAGCTATTTTTCAAGCTAGTTGGTTGAGCTATTCTGGATACATAAGTGTGTAATATTATTGAGAAAATTAGGTTGGACGAAATGCTATCATGAGTTATTTCTTGGGTTCTCTCTTTTTTGGATGTTGACTTATACTTCTTTGCTCATTAGTTTTGAACTTAATTTGGTGAAAAAAGTTCTCCTGATTTCAGTCTGTTTGCTGTCAAAAAGTTCAGCTCTGACCTGCTTTTGCCCATATATTTTTCCCTCTTTCTTTGACAAGTAGCTGTAAGATGAGTTAAAATCTTTGGAATTTTGTTAAGCTTCATTTTGTTTGGTCCATGCAGATTCTGCAATTTTTTAGCTGCAGTTGTTTCAAGTTATAATGTGATGGATCTTTTGACATTCAATATCGTCATTGCTCTTTTACTCTGTTATATTATGTGGCAAGCTCATCTGATATCCTTTAGGCGTGCTGATTGCTATACTCTGATATTTGCTTAGAAATCATGATGGATTGACATGACTTGAAGTTAAGGGTGTTAATGAATCTCTAAAAGACGATTAAAGCGACCGAACCACAAGGTTTGTGTTTAAACCTCTATGAAAGACAAGGTTTAATGACTATGGTTATTTGTTATGGATTTAATTTTACTATAAAGGGACCCCTCCCTAGCACAAGTTGGCATCATTTTAAAAATAATTGAGCTGTAAAGAAGTTGGCATCATTTTAAAAATAAATCTAAAATAATTGTAGGGTGCACTACCCTTTAATTAGGAATTTGGAGCAGAATTGCTATGCTTTTCTTTTACAAGTAAAGCTGTATCTTTTAGCCATTTGACTTTTTATCTGTGTATTCAACCAATTTAGGCAATGAATTCAGCTGAATTACCTATTAGCTCCATTTCCTCTCTTTCTCTATTTTTATTTATTTATCATTCTTCGGGTGTACGGTCATACTTCTTTTATGATAACGAGGACTTTGAAGAATTGGACATATAATTGAGTTGTTAATCAATGACAATTAGATGTTAATTTCATGATGTGTATGGTGGGTTTTTTTATAGGGTGAAAATCTGATTGATATTTATGTATGAGCAGCAGGTGGTAGAAATAGGCAGGATGTTCAGCAAACTGGTCAGAGCTATCCATGCATATAACAAGCAAAGAAAGATTGGAAATATAATGATTTATATATAGTACTCCATTCCTTAGATAGTATTATGTACATCTGAATAATTTGAACTAGCATATGGCTGTTTGTTAACTTTTGTCTTTTGGCAATAGCCTTGTTGAGGGTAATGGTTAAAGTGTTTGGAAAGGCCAAAGGGACAATATTAGAAAGCACAATCATATCCTTTGGTCAAAATGTGAATATAGACATTACTGATTCAGATTCTCAGTTAGTTTTCTTTTTAGCATTATATATAACATATGAGATAATAAGTTTAAACTACATTTTAAATGCCAAGTTTGGACTCGCTTTGGCTCTCAAGCCATAGACTTGTTATCTTAAATCCATAGACATGAGACATTACTGCAATTTGAAGACTTGTTCTGTGGTGTTTTTTGCTATGTAAAAATAAATTTAGGTGGTTGCTTGAACCTATGCCCTCGTTCCAAGTTCATACATTCTTATTAACCCTTTTCAAAAATGATGATGGGTACCCTATATTCTAAGACTTTAGATGTTTCTCCTGAGATTTTGTCATAATCAACTACCAATTTTGAATAATTTTTTTACCAGTACATGTTTGTTTTACAGCTCAGAAACTGTTGAGACTGTATCATTTAATGGCTGCAGTCAAATAAAACTCATATCAAGCCATAAATTGCAATAATGGATCTGTTTTGCTGAGCAATTGATGTTTAAAATGTTACTTGGAGGTGATGCCTCTGGTCGATGCTCATTCTATTTCATTGTTGTTGCCATTCTGACATTGTGCTGTGTGTTTGTTTTACTGTTGCATGTGCTAATTCTAAGATTTTGAGAAATAATTTGCTTTCAAACAGGGATGCCAGAGATTTTGATGACAAGCATACTAGTATTGAGCTTAGTGAATTTTTCTGTGGACTTGTATATATACCTTTTTCCTTCCTCTATTTACTTTATTTTACGCCTAAGATTTGGTTGTGTCATGTTAATTTCAGGAAGCCTATCAGCGACGTTTTGAGGAATAGCGTCAAAGTCAACCCGATTCCATGGATGGTAGCTCAACCCAAGTGTCACTCAATGATGTAGCTTCAATATGGTCGCAGGTGGTTGGTGGCGCAAAGAAAGGTAGAACCTACGGTCTTGAATCACAATATTCCGTAGGTCATTCTACGACATTGTTGTCTGGCGATGCAAGTTATTCGCAAGATCACGAAGAGGTGGAAGCATTACGAAAAGAAGTTGAAGAGTTGAAGGAGGAACAGAAAGAAGATCGCGCAAGTTTTAACAAATTGCAGATTCTAGTGGAGAAATTTATGAGCGGACGTTCATTTGGTCCTTTGAATAGCGAGGATGGCGGGGATAATGAGTTTTAGTTTGTTATGGTTCACTACTAAGAAATCAAGTTTTAGCGACGGATTAGCAACCGATTATCAAGAAATTCCGCTAGCTACGAGCGTTTTAGCGACAGATTAGCGACGGCGTTCGTAGCTAATTCCAGTTTTTTTGTAGTGGTTATGATGTTTGAGACATTATTATTTGTTGTAGTTTGATGTTTAGACTTGGTAATATTTACACTTGACTATGATTGTAATGTTTTAGACTAGATTGAATGGTGCCAGAATGTTTAACTCTTTTTTGGATGTTTTAGTTACAAATATTTATGTTTTGCATTTTATGGATTGATTGGTTGAAATGACGGATTGATTGGTTAGCATTGTGGAATAATTGGTTGGCATGGTGGATTAATTGGTTGTTGTATATTTGAATTGGCAGGTGGTACTGCTTTAAAAGCTGGAATTTGACAAAAAATTCCCAGTTTTCCGACCATAGTAGTCGCAAAATGCATCAAAATATTCCAGATTCAGGAACATCAGCGACTACTGCAGTCGGAAATATAAATAAATAAATAATTTTAAATTAGATTTGCGACCACGGTAGTCACAAACATAAATAAATAAATATTTTTAAATTAAATTTGCGACCACAATAGTGGGAAAACTCAAATAAAATTACATAATAATTATAATTATGTATACCGTTTGCGACTGAAGTAGTGGGAAAGTTAATATCAAATTAAAATTTAATTTAAATTGTTTGCGACCGCGTCAGTCGGAAAATTTACCATATTTATTAGTCATTTTTCTATTTTGAGTTTCCGACCGCTGTAGTCGCAAATTAGGGACGGATTCGGTCGCAAAATATTTCGGACCAACTATTTTGCGACGAATTTTTGGTCTGAATGTAGTCGGAAATTAGCATTTTCTGACCACTTCTGACCGTTTTTGCAATCGCAAAATAGCCATTTTCTAGAAGTCCCATTTGATTCAAAGAGTTTATAGATCTTTTGAGAGAAATTTGCTCAATGTGATTTTAGACATATCTCATCCATTTTTGGTATCTTTAGTCATCGTAGTATCGCAGACACAAAAAAGTGTATTTGATTTTATGTAAAGTATGTCCATGCATCTCAGGCGACCATATTAATCCATTTATCCTCTATGTGTTCTTCTTATAGAGTTTTTCTTATGTGCTTATTTTTAATTAGGTGGGCTATGGTTTGATCACGCTTTTTTACAACTGCATTTCTAGTACATTCGGTGTTGTCGTTTCTCAACTACTTTGTTAAGGATCCTTATCCGTATAAAGCACCCTTGCACGACTACTCCATTTCAGTCATCACTATTGGATTATATATATAGTGAAAGCAATTTCAGTATTACAATCATATGTAATCTAAACAACTAGCATAGATATAACGATACACGAAAATAAATCAAGTTACCTCTTGAAGTGTGAATTATAACGATCCGACCAGTAGTTTTGAGCTCTAGCATATCGTTCGATGGTTTGAGACTTTGGGTAGCTTCACTATACATATTATGACTTGCACGTGTAGTCAGATTTGAATTTTTGGGAAATTCGGAGTTGATTTAGAAGGATAATTCTCAATCAGAAGATTTAAGTTGGAAAAGTTGACCAAGGTTTGTCTTTAGAGTAAATGACCTCAGAACAGGGATTTGAAGGTTTCTATAGGTTAGCAATATGCTTTCGTACTTGGGCGTATGTTCGGGTTGAGTATCGGATGGTAAGGGAGCATTTTGGCGCTAAATATCAGAAGTTTGTATTATAAAGGTTTTAAAATCGGCTAAGTTTGAATTGGAGTGGATTTTGGTGTTATCGGACTCTGAGTGGTGTTTTGAGACCTTGGATAGGTTTGTTTTATTGATTGTAACTTGTGTGTGAAATTTGGTCGTGGTCCAGAATGTCTAAGTACGATTCGAACGCGTTCGATGAAGTTAAGCAAATGTCTTGATCGTCGATTCGTGGTTTTGATGTTATTGGCGGCATTTTGAGCCTTTGAAAAAGTTTGGGTAAGGTATTGAGACTGGATTGTATGATTAGATGGGGCCCCGAGGGCCTCGGGTATGCTTTGTGATGGTTTCGGACCAAGTTTTGGGTGTTTTGATGGTGCTTGTTTATGGTGTTGTTCTTCGCGAACGCGGTGGAAAGCACGCGTTCGCAACTAAGGATTTTGGATGCTAGGAATTTGTTCTATGCGAACGCGACAGGGGATTCATAAACACGAAGAAGGATTTTGGATGGGGCAGCTGGTTGCCTTTTGCGGACACGAAGATGGCTCCGCGAACATGAGGGAGGATCTGGCTCTCCTTTGCGAACGCGAAGGTTTTGAGGTCTAGGCTAGGGGGATCCGTTGGCTTTCACGATCGCGAAGAGCACGTCGTGATTGTGTAGGAGGAAATCTTGAGGAAGGCAACTTAAGCCTCCGCAAACACGACTTGAGGACCGCGAACGCGAAGGAGGGGATTGATGCTGGGGGGAATTTAGTCATCGCGAACATGACGGTTTGCTCGCAAACGCGATGGTTTGCTCGCGAACGTGAAGTTGTGGGGCAAGTAGGCCTTCAAGAACACGATGAAGGGCCCAGCAGAGGCTTATAACAATGAGCTCGGAGGTGAGCTCATTTATTTTAATTTCTCTCTTGTTGAGGCGATTTGAGGCGATTATGAAGAGCCATTTTCATCATCTATCATGAGGTAAGTGATTCTCACTTGTTGTGAGTTAAATACATTAATTTTTATATGGATTTAAACATGAAAATTGATAGAAAATGCGGGATTTTGGAAGAAAACTTGTTTGAATTTTGACCACGAAATTGGACATGAAATTGTGAATAAATTATATATTCGAGTTCGTGGTGCTATGGGTAATATTTATCTTCGAGAATTTTTAGAATTCGGGCGCGTGAGCCTAGGGGTTGACTTTGTTGACTTTTCGTGTGGAGTTGGGAATTATTTCTAATTGTTAAATTACGAGTCTTTGGGTATATTTAGATTGGTTTGCACGTTGTTTGACTAGTTTTGGATCGTTTGACATCGCTTTGAGGTGTTAGAGAGACGTTGGAGCCGGTTATCGGATTTCAGAGCGAGGTAAGACTTCTGTATAATCTTGTGATGGGCCCGTAGGTGTTATATTTGTTATGTGTTACATGTTGTGGGATCTATGCACGTATGAGGTGACGAGTGTCCGTCCGTATGCTAAAATTCCTGCTTTGGTTCGGGTAGACTAAGACTCACGCCATGCTTTATATTTTAATATTTTGAGTTATTCTTGCTTGTTTAAATGCTTTAATTTATATTTTTTCGTGAGACTAGACTTGCGAAAAGTATCGGACTTTCTATTTTAGATACCTGGCGAACTACTTGATTAGAAGTAGAAATTATACTTTTCTTGTACAGATTTCTTCTGTGTTGTACGAATTTGTCCGAAAGTTTCTTAAATTTAATAACTCACACATATATTCGTGAGTGGGGCCAGTGACCCGTCAAGTTTCACTATTTCTATGGGTTCGGGCTAAATGCATCAGCAGTACTATTATGGATCGGGCCATATGACTTCAGTAGTATTATGAGATGCATCTATGGTTCGGGACGTTCAACCTCGGCAGTGTACACGATTATTATGGGATCAGGTTGTTCGCCTTGCAAAATCGTGCGTAATATTTGATAGGGAGTCAGTGTATCTATGAGTTTTCCTGACTCACGATGTGATATTTTATTTGATGTTGACCATTATGTATTCTATTTGAGGAAGTATCCGATATTTGAGGACTTCGTGTTTGCTCCTCAAATGAGGATCGTATTATGTACCCATTTATGTTTTTACTGTTTTACTTGTCATGCTTCATACCTATCTACTTTTACTTTACTTGATTTTTTGGATCACTAGTGAGTGTCGATGTCGACCCATCGCCACTACTTCTTCAGGGTTAGGCTAGAAATTTACTGGGTACGCATTGATTTACGTACTCATACTACCCTCCTGCACTAATCATGCAGGTACTGAGACAGGTACATTCGGTTATCATTTGGGCGCGTAGGCGCAATTGCTAAGGATACTTTGTGGTGAGTTGCTCTCTACGTTATGCTCCGCAGCACACGAAGTCCCTGATCTATCCATTTATTGTATTCTGTCTATTTCCTATTCCAGACAGATGTGCTAGTAGTATCGTATATTCTGGTAGATGATGGTAGGCTATCATTTCGTGTTTTAGTCACTTATTACACTCTAATTCACTGCACTTTTTTGTGTTGAGCTTTAATCGCTAATGTTTTGTACTAATTGTATGTTCTATGCCTTGTAGAAGTGATTCCGAGTGATGTAGATGTTATGGAGCTAATTCGAGCTATTTGGAGCTTTGAAGTCTGAGTAAAAGCCCAAACGATTAAGCTGGGATCGTGTTTGGGGGTCGAGGACCACATCTGGATATCAAAAATCAAGCAAAAAGTAAACTCTGACAAAAATGCACTGCCGCGGTGCGTGGTGCGCCGCGACTGTGTAAAATGTGGATGCATCTTCAATTGTTGAGCACACTAGAAATTCCCACTAATGCCGCACATGGCGCGTCCATGCGCGTGCATGTGTAATATTTCTAGAGCCAGTGTCCTATTTCGGCTAGGAGAAGGTGGTTTTGTTTGGGCCCGACCCTACTTGATATAAATACATGGAAAATGGTTATTTTATGGAATTTTGACACATATTCGACCGAATAAGGCTAAGGATGAGTTGGAAGAGCAACATCACAAGGATTTCATCATTTCTTCCTCACTCAAGACCCGAGTTTGGATTGAATTTATGTTTTCCTATCTTTTTATCATATTTGTGATGAATTAATCCATGTCTATGGAGTAGTTCCTTTTAGGGTTTGATGAATTTGGTGTATTGATATTTGTTTGTGGACATTAACTCTAGTTTTATGTATTGAAGCATTTTTGGATGATTTAATTGTTGCATTCATATTCACTTGTTCATGTAATCGAGAGAGGCATAACTTGTGATATTTTTTCATTATATTGTTGGTTGAGTTCATAAATTCTTCTTAGTAATTGAAGGCTAGTTGAATCATTGAATATACCTAGTTAGGAGGATAATCAAGAGAGGTTCTCCTAAAGATCAATCCACTACACATTCTTGCATATATTCACAGAGCATAAATTGGTTCATCTCGTGAAGTTAAGACTTAATCGAGAGAGGAGTTTTTACTAAACAATTGAACTAATAATAAGTGAAATTGAGAGACTCACTTGAACATTAGATGTGAATTATCTAGAGTTAAATCTCATATAATCATATTGCACCTATCCTATCAAAACCCTATCTTCTCCCATTGATAACTTTCTTTGCTTATTCCTTGATTCGATCGTCATTAGTCAATAGCTTAGATACTTAGTTAATTTTTGTTAGAAATCATATAAATCTCAACTATTGATCATCTTGGATAGCAATCAAGCTAGAAACTACGATAATATTGTTTAACTCTAATCCATGTTGATACGAATTATATTATACAATATTTGACTAGCAAGCATAACTTAAGTCTGTATTTTGCGCTCGTCAAATTTTGGCGTTGTTGCCCGGGATTGGCAATCAATAGTGTTTGAAATAGTTCGTAGTGCTAATTCAGGAATTTTTTATTTTTATTTTATTTTATTTTTCTCTTTTTACGGTTTGTGTTATTTGATTGTGCACAGGTGACAGGTTAAGAGTGGTACATGACTCAAGCTTCTGGGAAAGAAGTGCTACCATAAGAATCCGAGATAGAAAAACAACTACGACAACTGAGGAAGGAAAGAAATCTCTCCGAGACTTTAGAGAAGGTTGGGCAATACTCAACCAAAGAAACTATGGTTGGAGACGATGATGATAATGTAGATTTTGGTGCAAGAGAGACAGCCCAACAATGAGAAAAAACAGCACGGGATGCTAAGGAAGCAGCTATCAAAGATGCATATATTATCTATGAAGAAGAGAGGGCTCGGAGAATTGCTCAAAATCAACCCTTGGCTGCCGACCACTGAGGAAATATAGCTCTTATGCGTGGGAGACCACTTGGCGACTATGCTAGACCGGTCTACAATAAAGGATTATCAAGTGTGAGACCACATCCAATTGCAGCTAACAATTTCGAGTTGAAGCAAGGGTTGCTTGAAACCCTTCAGAACTATTGTGTCTTCAGAGGAAAGTTGAACGAAGATCCAACCACACATCTAATGGACTTTGAGGAGATTATGAACACCTTTCAATACAATGGGGTGTCACAAGATGCAGTATACTTAAGGGCATTCCCCTTAACACTCAAAGATGATGCAAAGTAGTGGCTTCGAAGCCTGCCCAATGGATCGATTAGAACATGGGATGAGATGATAGAAAGTTCCTTGATAAATATTTCTCATCAACTAAAACGGGCAAGTTTAGAAGAAAAATCCATAACTTCTTCCAGAAAGATACTGAAATTGTGTTTGAAGCATGGGAGAGGTTCAAGGAGATAGTGCGAAAGCGTCAACATAGTGGAATTGAACTCTGGATGCAACTCCAGGACTTTTGGGATGGATTGACACTGGCCTCACGTAGAATATTGAGCAATACAGCTGGAGGCCCGTTGATGAAGAAAACTCCAGAGGAGATAGTTACAATTCTTGATGAGTTGTCTAAAGATGCAAATCAGTGGCCCTTTGAGAGTGCTAAAAGAAGAAGATCAACTGGTGTTTACAAGTTGATGCTAATACATCTGTGCAGGTACAACTTGATGCTATGGCTAAAGAAATACGAAACCTGACCTTAGCTACAATACAGAGTGAACCTCATGCAGCTTGTGACATATGTGGAAGAGGACACCCTACTTATGAGTGTCAAGCCTCAACTGAGGAAGTGAATGTTGTGGGAAATTACAACTTTAATGCAATGGGTCAGAAGCACCCTGATTTTTCATGGGGTTCACCTGGGGGTACTGCAAATGCATCACAACAAAACAACCCCAGATTTAAGGGACAAGGAACTCCTAGTTTTGTTAATCAGCAGAGGCCACAGTTTTAGCCTCAACAGCCCAATCAGCCTGGTCTAGAAGATCTTATGAAGGCCTTTATCATGAAAACTGATGAAAGATTTGAAGTACAAGGGGCAACAATTCAAAATCTAGAGAAGCAAGTGGGGCAGATTGAAACAATATTATCTGAGAGAGTTCTAGGTACTCTTCCCACTGATACTGAGAGAAACCCCAAAGAAATAGTGAATGTTGTAACCTTGAGAAGTGGGCAAGTGTTGAAAGATCCCACCCAGTCCAAAAAGATGTGAAACTTGAAAAAGAAAGTGGGGAGCAGCTGAAAATTGATGTTGATAAGGAGAAGAAAGGCAAGAAAGGAGTTGAGAAAAAGAAGAAGAAAGAGAACTCGAGAAGGGAGGAACTTGATATGTGTGCTTTACCTTTTCCTCAAAAGCTATATAGAGAAAAGCTGGAAAAGCAATTTGAGAGACTTCTGGATATGGTGGAGCAGGTTAATGTAAACTTACCATTCACAGAAGTGCTCTCACAAATGCCAGCTTATGCTAAATTCTTGAAGGAAATCCTTACAAAGAAGAGGAAGATAGAGGCGATCTCAGTGGTCAAACTCACAGAGCATTGTAGTGCGATCTTGCAAAATAAACTCCCACAAAAGTGTGGAGATCTAGGGAGTTTAACTATTACTTGCTCTTTAGGCACTATTAATTTTGATAAGTCTTTATGTGATTCTGGTGCCTCAATTAATCTAATGCCTCTATCTATTTACAGGAAACTGGAGAATGAGATTGGAGAAATAAGGTCTGCACCAATATCTTTGCAGCTAACAGTCAAACAACTCTAATACCCGAGGCCCGAGGGGATAGTGGAAGATGTCTTAGTTCGAGTAGAAAAGTTTGTTTTTCCTGTAGATTTTATAGTGGTGAAGATGGAGGAGAACAAGGAGGTCCCCCTCATCCTAGGAAGACCATTTTTAGCAACGGGTAGAGCGATATTGGATATACACGAGAGAAAACTCATGCTTAGAGTGGGTGAGGAGATTGTGACTTTCAAGATGGATGTAAAAACGGGGGTGAAAAAGGAGAAGCCAGCTGCAAGTGAGTGGAAAATAAAGGGGTCAAAAGAGAAGGCTGCTGTGAGTGAGAAAGATAAGTGTGGGGTGTATCCCAAGAAGGTTGAGAAGAAGTTGTCTGCATGGATGTGTACATTAGTTCAGGTACGACGAATGGAGCCCGACTTCGACTCAAACCCCGACTAGATATTCAGGGAAGTTTCCTTTACCTTATGCTTTTTAATTGTGTGTCATGGGGACATGCCACAACTTAAATTGTGGGTGGGGGATATTTGTATGTTGTATGTATATTAGTTTTATTTTTTCTTGTGTGAGTTGTAGTAGTTAGATAGAAAAAAATGATAAAAAATTAAAATTTTTAAAATTTTCGACTTTTCCCGACGATGGATATCACATCGACAGGTTTCTTGAGGGATTAAAGTCAAAGGAAAAAGACAAAAAGATTTTCTTTAGTAGGTAGTGTAATAATTCTCACTTGTTTTTTTTTGGGTCGCGGTTCTTTTCCAAGAGTTTTGTTTGAACCAGGTGTAGTTAGTTTTTATTTTGTTATGAGTAGGGAACCTTGTGCTATGATTTGAATTGAAAACAATACCTCTTGACTTTGTATGCCTTGAGAATAGTGAGTGCTTTAGTTGTGACACTTAGGCTCAGTCTTTGACTCTTGTATAAATACCTTAAAGTGTATGATCTTAACTTTGCTTAACTGTTTTGACTAGAATGTCTTGATGAGTCTGATCCTGAGTAAGTTATGTGCCATGTGTGTGTGAGGTTTTTTGTGTATTCTATGCATTGCATTTAATGTCTAGAATTTTCCCTGTGTGTTTGCAAAGCGAAATTATAGTTTTATTCAATCTTGGAAGTGATATAGGCATTTCTTTGTTGAGCCAGATATATTTTTTACCCAGAGGACAGAGGGTGACTTTGAGGCCTGCGAACGCCGGGTAGGTATACTTTGAAGTGATATAAGGACAGAGGGTGACTTCGAGGCCTGCGAACGTCGGATAGGTATACTTTGAAGTCTACAAAATGAATGCTCTACTCACTGGTGTCTAGCCTAGGTCGAGGTACCTGGATCTGCACGTACACCATAACGGTACCTAGTAAGTATCAAGCCTAACCTCAGTAGAGTAGTGACGAGGCCAGGACAAGCCACCTACTAGGACAAGATAAACAGAACAAAATATAATGACGAGAAGTAATAGAAACAGAGGGATGGATGATAACAAAGCAGGTTAATAATACAGACAAAAGAGAACTTGAAGGAAGCAAATAACAAGAAATAAAATAGTCAAATGCGGACAAAAGTGATAAGACAAGGAAGAAATAAAGCAACAAGAACTTTTCAACTAATAACTCTTTTCAATATGAGATGCACAACAAGAATCACAACCGAGGTTAGAGGTGGGCATAAAATTCGAAAAACCGAATTCCGAACCGGACAAAATTAATTCGGTATTTCGGTTTCGGTTTTTTCGATATTTCGGTCTAATTCGGTATTATATTTTTGGTATTTCGGTATTATGGTACGGTCCTCGATATTAGGATCTTGAAATTTTGGTATACCGAATTACCTAATTTTTATAGACTTTTTTTTAAGTTGGACCTCTGCCCCAACGCCCCAGCCCAAAAACTTTTAATATATTTCTCTGCCCACTCCAGCGCCCCAGCCCAACTGCCCAAGCCCCAAGTCCATTCTATATTCAATTAGGGCATTAGCATTACTGCAATAGGCACCACTAGCAGTCACGAACAGACTCCTCACTCCTCACTCATTAGAAAGTCATTCCGATTTAGGGTTTAGCATTAGCATTCTGATAGTTTCACAAATTCCGGGTAAACGAAGACCAAATACAAAAAGAGATCAGCTGCTAATATACCAGCTCTAAGCCATTGTGCCCTTTGGGAGTAGTCAAAATCTTCTTCAGGTACTTCGTTTTGGTTCTGGTTATCATGTTCTTTAAGAACAGTAAGTTGGATATCGTTTTGAGCAGCCATTAAGAAATTTTTTAAGGAATTGTTTGAGAAAGGATGACTTCTTGTTTAGGATTTCTTGTTTATTAACAGATTCTAACTTTGAGAAATGAGTTTGCAGTTTCATATTTTCCATTGATTCACCATCTTTCGGTCAAACCGCATTTCCAGTGACAATTCCTAGATTCACAAATTCATATTTGCCATTGTTGTTGCGATAGTTTCACAAATTCAGAAAGAGATCGGCTGCTGTTGCAAGTGACTTCAAAGAATCAAAATTCAAAGGTATGTTTCTAGTTTCTTCCATAATTTGTGCTAGAACTGCTAAAGATTGACTTTTTTTTTAAACCTTTTTACCAGTTTAATACTCTATTTCTTTGGTGATATACTTTTGTAGTTTTGTTTTATTATCATCAAAAAATAATATTCTAACTTATGATTTATATTTTTTTAGGTTCAAGAGCAATCATGCCCCGTGCTCCTAAAGTACGCTCTCATATTTGGGAACACTTTGAGGTGAAAGAAGATAACGGAGAAGTTTGCAACGTAGAGTGCAAGCATTATGGTCAAGTCTATAATGTTCATCCAAAGAGGAATGGCACATATTGTTTATGGAAGCATATTGGGCATTGTCTTGAGCATCTTCCTGGAATCCTTATTTAAGAATTAAGACTAAGTTGATTCAAGACTATTAGTGTGAACTTGAATTGAGGGATGCCCTCTCTGTTTTTGTTGCACTGTGTGTGTTTAATTCGGCTGCTTATTAGAGTCTGCTGGCTGCTGCTACTGTTAATTATGCTACTGGCCTACTGCTATTGTTAATTACGCTACTGTTAAGTGTTAATTCTGCTACTGTTATTCTGTTAATGCTGCTACTGTTGCATATATTTTCTGCCATTTTTAGAGAAAAAATTTGCAGCTTGTTAAGAGTACAAACTTTTAAAATTTGCAGCTTGTTGCCTTGTTCTGCAATTGATTTGCAACCTGTCTCGTTGTGTATTAAGGCATTAAGCCACAAGAATTTGAGTTGGCTCCAAATGCCAGCAAATGTCTATAAGTCTATTTACTTCTTTCTGAAGATATGGTTGTTCAATTTCATTGTATTTCTTCATTTCTTGGCTGAACGGTTAGGCAAGGCATTGAAACATAGGAGAATTGTCACTCGTCAGTGTTGCTTATTTAGCGAATATTAAACCGAAACTGTACCAAACCAAAATAAGAAATACCGAACCGTACCGAAATACTTTGGTACGGTATTTGGTATACACAATTGATAAACAGAATACCGAAATACCGAACCGAAATTCTTAAATATAGAATGCCCACCCCTAACCGAGGTACCACCTCGTATTCACTTTTTACAATTTCAAACACAATCTTTTCTTATATCGCTGCAGGAGCCTTACATTTAGTTTTGAAAATTATTTTTTTCCTGAAATAGCTCCCTGCATTTTAGACCGCCTTATCACACCGCGTGCCTTTAAGTAGTTCCCCTACTAGCAACACGTGTATCAAGCCCACCTTATCTCACCGCATGTGTATCAACCCCTAGCCTTATGCCACCGCATGCTTATCAATATCATAACATAACCACAACTCGCACTTCAAGTGCTCATATGCCACAACTTGCCAAAAGAGTCTACAATACCAATGTATCCACAACAAATAGCCCACGGCTCAACCATAATGTGTACAAGCATCTCAACAATAACAAATAATGGTGAATAACTCAACCAGAATTATACTCAACAATTAACAACTTTGTCTCAAAGTTATAACGGCTTTTACAACTTCAACACCAATAACAAAACAAGAGATATTCCATGAATTAACAACTTCAAGTAATTAATTCCTCAATTAAAGAAGTAATAAGACAATTAAGAAGGCAATAATTTTAACTAAAGCATATAAGAGCAAATAACAAGTAAGAGGTGGAACAAGTGTTAACAATGTCAATTAGAGCATATGAGGGTAACTTAACAATGAAAGATATAACATGTTATGACAGCTTGATTAAAGACGTGAAAAGGTCTAAATAGCCTAAAACCGGTCAAATACCATACTCGTCACCTTGCGTACACGGTTTTCACATATCACAAATAACACAAATAACTCCAATCTTAAGGGGTAGTTCACCCACTCAAAATTAGGCAAGATATTTACCTCAAACAAGCTAATTCAATCCACTAGTATGCCTTTTCCGCGAATATCCAACTCGGACAGCTCGAATCTAGCCAAAATAACTTAATACCATAAATACAAACCATAGGAAACTATAATAGATAATAAAGTTGCAATCTTAAAAGAAAATTAAAAAGTCAACTCAAAAGGTCAACTACAAGCTCGCATCACGGAACCCGACCAAACTTACAAAATCAAAACACCCATTCATTTCTAAGTCCAACCAAACTAAAATTGTCCAATTCCGACCTCAAATCGACCTTCAAATCCTCAATTTATAGCTTAGGAAGTTTACATAAAATTCTCCAATTTTTTCAACTCAAAAAACTAATTAAATAATAAAAATAATGATGGATTCATGGATAATAATTAAATCCGAGTCAAAGACACTTACCCCGATCAACTCCTTGAAAATCCCATCCAAAATTTCCTAAAAGCGAGCTTTCTAACACAAAGATGAAAAATAACTCTAACACTCGATCCACCCCTTTTTTGCCCAGCTATAATGCATATGCGGACCAACATCCGCTTCTACGGACATGCAAAAAATTCATCGCGGATGCGGCATTTCGTTAAGCCAGGAAAACTCGCTTTTGCGGATCTTTGAGCGCATTTGTGCT